CTGCTAAAGCCTCCCGTGACAAAGCTGACTTTGCGCCTCCCTCCAGCCCGTGTTTCCAAAGACAGATCCATCCTGCAGGTGCTCAACAGAAACACTGGAGCCTGGTCCTGCATCTGCTACGACCACTTCAACCTGGTGCTGGCAAAAGCAGCCTGCGAGCAGATGGGCTACAGGAGGTACACGGCTGCCTTCTCCACACCTCTCTCGCCTGCTTTATCCATCCCGCTCCCATAAAAGCTCTTTCCAAGTGGGGCTCTGTTTACTTATAAAGCACTCAGAGCTCTGTGCTAATGGTTCAGTCCATTCCCACCATGCAGAGCACTGTGTGTCCCTAGGAGCTGGCTGGTCTCTGTGCTAAAAGCCCTGGCAGCCTCCCATGTAAGCCCAGTACCATGCCCTGCATCCCCTGCTCCGTCTCCAGCCTAGGGGCACCCTGGCCCACTTCCACCCCTCAGCAGGGCTGCAATGCACCTCCCTCCCAACACACACCTCACCAGAGCAGCTTCCCTTGGGGAGGGGTACAGGGCATCACATCCCCCTTTTAAAGCCCAGGAGAGCCACACTTGGCTGGGGATGTGGGTGCTGCACAGCTGTGGGCCCTTGCAGCTGCAATGAAGCTCTATGTCACCCACCTGTGTCCATCTTGATGAAGCCCCATGTCACCCACCCGTGTCCGCCTCGTGCACTGCCCTGAGCTAGCAGCCAGTTTGCATTGCTGCATTCAACCAAAGCTGCCTGAAGCTGAGATCTGGGATGCATCTTACTAGCCCTGCATGTTCAGTATCAGCCCTGGATTCAGGGAGAGTTTGACAGAAGTTAGGGCTATACTAGGGAGAAGATGGATTCTGGTGTTCAAGCCCCACTAGGAGCCTAGACTGAGCCCAGGATGGTATTTTCCAGCTCCAGGAAGTCAGGGATTGAGGCTCTGAGCGCAGCCCCAATGTCACCACAGCAGGCTCACCCCTGAGGTCCCCTGGGAGCCACCTGCCCCACGCCTCGCAGAACAGCAGGGAGTAGTCTCCCTTTCCTCAATACTCCTGCCACTGGTCCCGAGCTCAGCGGCCAGTCTCCCCATCCTGCCCCTGGCCCTTCAGGGCTGTGGCACTTCCCTCTTTTGGCATCCCTGTGTCCCTGTCCCGAGGAACTCCCTTTTTCTATGGTGTCTTTCTCTTGCTCACTGGCGCAGGGTCCATGTTGCTGTCCTATGCTCCTGCTTCCTCCCTGTCTCACCGGCTCTTTGCTGGGGCCACGGGCAAACATTTAGGACCTATTTGTAAAGCTTCAGTCCCTAAAGTTTTAGAACTGGGTTATACCATCTTTGGCTCAGTTTGAGACAAAACCACTGAGTTTCCAGGCTCCCAGTGGTGCTCCGGCCCCAGTGCCTGTCCTCTCCCAGCATCTGCGCCCTGTTGGGAGCGGGCCTGGGGCTGCACACCCCCGGGCATGATTCCTGATCCGGGCCCCCCTGTGTCTTCCAGCAACCCCATTTTCCGGGCGGTGGAGGCGGGTGAGGGGCAGCCCCTTCCGCCCCGTGAGGTCATGCTGAGCAACGGCAGCCTCCAGGTGCCCAAGCTGGGCAGGTGAGTGGTGGGGCGGGGCAGAGGTGCCCCCGTGCCCATCTCCTTGCGTGGGAGCCTGTGGTGCCTGGCTGCGGAGCTGGAGCCTCTCCTGCACCGAATCCAGCCCTTTTCCTCCCTTCTCCTCCACCAAATCCAGCCTTTTTCCTCCCTCTTCCAGGAAATGCCTCTCTGGATCTGTCGTTTCACTCTTTTGTTCCAGTAAGTATCACGAGGCGGTTTGCACCTTGCAGCACGCTGGGCCTGGCGCCGCTCCAGGTCCTCGGTCCCGGCACGGCCCCACGTGCTGCAGCTGCAGGAGCTCAGCTCTGGCCCAAGCCCTGTCCCTGCCCGGTTCCCACACTGTTTGCGTGAGAAAAGTTGGATTTGATCACCACTAACCTTCTTGTCAGGCCAGCAGAAACCTCCCAGAAATGAAACACCTAGGAGAGGCTTAACCAGCTGCCTGGATGGGCTAACTTTTGCTCACGAATTATGTTAATTAAACTAATCCACCCGGTGGGCTGGAGAAGGCAAGGGACCGATGAGCCCGTTCCAGCAAGCCTGGGGCAATGTGCAAACACACCCCAAACCGGGGAGTGCCAAGTGGTGCACAGAGGGGTGACAGTGTTGGGGTACCGGGGAGCATCTGGGCCATGCTCCCCTCCCTGGGAGGCACGGGAGCCTCCGTCCCTGCTCGCCCCCGAGGACGGAGGCGGGCAGAGTGGGTGGGTGCTCTTTCTCTCCCCCCGCCCCAGCTA